TTTTTTAGAGAGAAGAAAGGAGGGGGGGAGAGAGAGAGAAACATCAATGATGAGAGAGTCATTGATCAGCTGCCTAGCCCGCAACCCGGGCATGTGCCCTGACCGGGAATCGAACCTCTATCGCCTGGATCCAACCACTGAGCCATGCCCGGCCGGGCTCTTTTTGTTTCTTAACCCTTTTTTTTAACTTTTAAAAATTAAGTAATTTTGCCTTAGGTAAGTTACTTTTGTGTTTCTTGTAAGAATTAAGTTATCATTTTATGTTTGGCAGGATTGTTTTGTATCTTTTTGGTTTTTATACATTTTAGTTACTTGTAAACACCTTAAGGGATTCTTTGGCAGTTTAAAGACTTTTCTTCAATTTTGATTTTATTCTTTTTAAATTTTTTATTTAATTTAATTTTTAGGTCAAATAGATGCAAAAACATTAAAAAAGAGATGAGTTATAGGTGGAGTATTCATTAGGTAGATGTTATGCAAGTAGATTTTGTAGAAACTGACTAGTCCAGCAACCTGTGGAGTCTCTTGGGGGCTTCCCGTCTCTCTGATACACCGAATGCACTGCTAATGAGAATTCTGGAGCCTTCTATGTCTGTAGCGAGTGTAGAGGCCTACGTGTGCAGTCTTTCTAACTACAAGGCCCAAACGTCCCTTATATCTCACTGATAAACAACGAGTCAGTCGACAAGATGCTACCTTTCAGGTGCTGTTTTCAAGGTTTCTTCTATTATTCTTTCATTACTCAGAAGATAGTCTTGGGTGTTTCCTCCTGAATAGGAGGAAAGCATTGTTGGCTCGGTTTTCCAGTCCCGAGAGCCTTCGTGCCACCTGTCAGCAGTGTTGAGCACAGGTGTGCCCTCAAGAGCATCAGCTCGTCAGGTGGCAGCGCTACTCTGCAGCCCTGTTTCCTCAGGAGTCAGCAGTGGTCCGTGTTGACTCTGATGTTAATGTCACAGCACAGCTATTGCTCTTGCAGGCGATCAGTGGGAGCCACACAGATGCGGACACGTTGCTCCTTGAGATGTGTTTTACTTATTAGTAGCCTCTGTGTAGTGCCCAAGGTACTCGCATTCTTTAGAATTCTGGAAAAAGTGAATATAAATCAAAGTAGAATCAACAGTGAGTAAATGTTTTAGGATGAATAGCAGCCTAGTAACTCTTCCATAATATTGTGTGGACCCCACAACCTCAAGATAAAATCTAAGCTCTTCAGTGTTCTTTAGAGACTACTGGTAACCAGGCCCCTGCCTACTTCCTCAGCCTTCTTTCCGGCTTTCAGACTCAGCCTGTGACCTAGTTATAATAAATTTACCTTTGCTTCCTCTCCACTCTCCTCCTCCTCAACCTTGATAATCTAAGAGTGAGTGGCATGTTCTTTTGGAGATCTTGGCTGTTTTAGTGCCCATGCGACCTCCCACAGCAGCCAGAACTTACGGCCCTTACTGCACTCAACTATTATTACCTATTGAATTATCTATAAGCTCCTTAAGGACAGGGTCTTATCTTTCTTGTTTACCTTATATCTCTGGCATAGTGGCTGGGATGTAAATATTTAAGAAAACTTTCTAAAATTGGAATGACGAGGGGCCCTCAGTGCCCATAGTGGCCTTACCAATTGTTCTGGTTTGCTTTTCCCAATTGTGACTATTTTTAACTCATTTTATGATAAAAAATACTGAGATTGACTTTTATCGCATTCCTCTGCCTTCAGTAGTAGCTTAATTTTGCTGGATTCAGTTTGTTAGTCTGCAAAATGGAGATAATAGTTGGTGCAGGGTAGCTGAGAGAATCAAAGAAGCCCTAGAAGGCAAGGAGTGGCTTCAACTTCGGGACTTTGGGTTCTTGCTCTTATGCAAATAGAAGGTGGAGGCGGGCTCCTAGTAGTAGCTGGAGGTCACTGTTGCTCTAGGGTTTAGGCCTGAATTGTGCTAAATGGCGATTTTCCCTGACACTTTCTTCTCGTTTGCCCTCTAATAGTGCCTCAGTCGTGAACAAGGTATTCGGTGGATCAAAAAAGAAAGACTCCCGGCATTTCTGGAAAGCGATTGCTATTTTGAATACAGGTACTTTAGTCTCATCAGTATACACGTTTTTTTAAATGCCTATTTTTTACCCCCAATTATTTTTCTGTACTTTCTTAATAAAATTCTTTTCAATCTATTGGAGTGTGGATCCCACTTGCTATAGTATAAGAGTGACAGAGCGTTGGTGAAAATCACTTAACTTTCCAAAGAGATTTCACAGAAACAATACCTAACAAATGTATTTCAGTTGTGCTTCTTTAATCATTATATTTCTAAAAGTATCTACTTATCATGCAATAATGGCATTTACGTATAGGGTATTAAAACGTGAAAATAAGTGTGTCATGAAAAAGGCAGAATGTCATAGTGCAGAGCCAAGTCTTTTTCTTACATGCCCTGACCTTTAAAGTTCCAAAACATTCTGAAGTTTTACTAAAATTCACCTTTGCTTACAATCACTTTATGAATAAAAATAAAATAAGTTAAAACAGAATAATTAATTCATTAGCAGTTCTATGAATAAGCCATTAGTTTTAGCAGATCCTAAGAGAATCATCCTGCAGAGTTAGGAAAGGAGATTGGCTTGAATACGAAAAATAAAATTTTAGTGTTTCCCCCCCCCCGAATTCCACCATATTTGAAATTTGTTCCAATTTTGTATGCCTTCTAAAATGCAGGCTAGCCAAGTTGATTTCACAGGTGAGATGGAGTGGGTCAGGCATGAACATCACACTAGATACAGACTCTTCTCCCTGGGTCCTGAGAAAACCACCCACCCCACCGCCGCCTCCCACTGAAGACGACAATGTCATCATCATGAAAAAGTTCTACATTTCTCTTGGCGAGGTAAACGTATGACTGTCTCTGTGACTTGGCACTTCAATAAAACTTCTCATTTTAGAAACATGGATTTCATTTGTACCACTTGAATGGGGAAAACTTTTTCCAATACTTCAAAAAGCAGATTTAGCAAAAGTTCTTGTGGATTTCTACTGACTCATTTGCTCTGTACTCTTTCACCTAAAGTGTAAATAGAATTTTCCTCATGTATGTGAAGGAACAAATGCAAGACCAAAGAACATGCTCAGTGTCATCTGGGAAGCATGAGCAACTGAATTATAGCCCTGGTTTATTCCAAATTTTTATTATTTGGATTCTATAACTGTTACTGGGACCCTAATACTTGGGCCTGCTCACACTGGGCCATTTAAGAGGAGTGCCTGGGACTGCAGCAGCCTCCGTCTCACTCAGCCACAATCTCTGCTGGTTTTCACAGCCAGAAGTTATGGGGACATCACTGCCTGGCACTGGAACCCTGGGCTGGGGAGGCTAGGGTGGGGCTGGGACCCCTCCTCAGGGGGACCTCCACAGCCAAGATATCGCTCCCCATTTTTAACCTGCACATGTGGATATGGCCCAGCCCTTTAGGAGTCTCCACCCCACCCCCTGCCACATTTCATAACTTTTGTACAAAAAGACATTAAACCGGGTCTCCTCTCTTTTATCAAGGTGATTTCTAAGTGGTAAAATGCTCAGATGTCCATTACTGCTTACCTGTTACGGGATACGTTTGTTCTCCTTGACCGAGGACGTGTTGGGCTGTGTGAGACCTAACGTAGAATCAAATGTCCTTTTGGAGACTCGTGGTATAGTGGAAATTGTTGTTTGATTTCTCGCCTGTAGTTATCAGATCTTCTCTCTTGGAACACACTTTGAATACACAGCTCTGTACAAAATCAGGAATGTCAAATATGCAGCCCATGTGTTGATACGCTCCTAGTTTCTATTCATGGCAGACATTGCTAATCAATCATGGCAACTTTCCTACTGAGCCATAGGACTTGGCTCCAAATTCTTTTCAGCACCGCACTTTAGGCAGGCACCTCTAGCTGATCAAAGACGTCACAGAAGAGGAAAATGATTTGCCATCTTCGTTGGAATGGATGGACTCATCCTGTCTTACTTGAACATTGGTTTTCATGTGTAGCTTCTATTTGATTTTATAGTTTGGCATTTCTATAAGTTACATTTGTTAAAAATGTTTGAAACTGCCAGTTCCATTATTTCACCGAGTGATGCCTAGGGATGTACCAAAGGCACATTTTTCTTGTCTTATATTTATTTTGAAGGGTTTATTTTTTTTCTCTTATATATTATAGAAATGTCAGGAATATCATAAAATATGTACTGATGGTAGAGGTCAGTAAACATGTAGAGGGAAGAGTCCATCTAGGGGAAGTAGTTCTCATTCTTTACATGTAAATTTAATCAAATATGAGAGTAAAATCCAAGCTGCTTCTTTTTTTTTTTTTTTGCTATTTTCTGTGATAAAAAAACTCATTTCTGTCCACTTAATACTTAAACTATCTTTTAAATAGCTTTTGAAGTTTAAGGATTCAAAGTTCTTTTGGTCCTTAAACCATTTAAACCTTGACTCTAGATAGGGGTTAATCTTTATGATAATGGGTAACATTTCTGTGAGTCTTAAGTTATTCCATCTAAACATGAACTATTGACCCATCTCTTAAAGTAGAAAGTGAAACAGTTAACTGCTTGTATGTCTGACTATTTCTTTCCCCCCTACCTTCTACTTTCTTCTGTTTTTTTGTGTGCAGTTGACATTACAAGCACTCTTGTATGTTGGTCTCTGTCAGTTCCTTGAAAATTCCCTAATTATTTTGCTCTTTTCTCAGTGCTTAGGATACTGCTAGGGATAGAGAAGTCACTCGATAAATATGCATTGAAAGAACATATAATAACATATAATAACAAATGACTTGGTCTTAAAGGAAGGCACAGAGGGAAGAAAAGGAAAGCAGAGTCTTTGAAAGTGTAGGGGTGCAAACAATGAGTATTCTTCCACTTTTCTAAGCTCCCCTGGCCTGGCTAGTAATACAATTAACAGAGACTGAAAACGAGAGAATGTCCATAATTTATTACACTATAGTGTGGGTGCCATAAGAATAGAAACCTGGGAATGTGCAGGGCCAGCTGAGGTTTATTCAAGGAGAAGGGGTCAGTGGTCCAGGATTCCCAAGGGAAAGTAGGCAATTCACAGGTAGAAGGAGCAAACAGGCAACCAACTGGGGCCCTGGAAATGATGGGACACAGAAGGAAGTTCAACAGATGGACTTGGCTGGATTTCTTCCCGTCTGCCACAGTTAGCTCACATCACTATGCTAAGGTCTGGTCCCTTCCATTAAGCAGGTTTTTCTACCCAAATTCTGTTAGGCAGATAAGGGGGTGGGTTAAAGGTTCTTTCCGAGTCTTTCTGCCTCTTAATAACCAGCTTAAAATTAATATCCCAAAAGGCATATTTTAGGGTGGCAAAACAGCCACAGAAAACCTTGCCTCTTAGAGATCAGTGGCCACACAGATGGCACCTCTCATCTCTCGCTCCTGCGTTTGGTCTCATTGCGTGGCCTCTCTTGCACTGAGGATTGTGCATTATGATCAGGGAACAGCACATGTTCCATTTGGGTCCTGCCTCCTCGGCGAGTGTCCTTAGGCTGAGGGCCGACCGGCTGACTCAGGTGGAGCAAGGAGAAATGAGGTAATGCTGGAAACTGCCTTCTCTGCTTATGTGAACAAACTTGGGTTCCCTTAGAAAAACAGGTGAGGACATTACTGAGAAACTCGGGCTGAGGAATTTTGCTCAGAAGGCTGAGATAAGGGGCTTCTTAGGACTGGGATTCTAGAAGCTGAGAGTCATCTTGGGATTTGGGTCAGCTGGCTGAAGGGTACACAGAGCAACAGCAAGACTGAAGGCTACATCCAGGGGCAGGTGGAGTCAGGAATCAGTCTTCAGGAAGCATCCATTCCAAGCAAAGCTGTGAAACGGAATCTAAGGCGAAGTGGCAGTTGACCTTAGAGGTGTTTCCTGTGCCACTGAGAGCAAGTCTTTGTCATGGCGGGAGGAGTGGTTAAAAGCACTGAGCCAGGGCAGACAGAATTAGGGGCATGAAATAATCAGGATGGTTGTGAACAGGAGCTGCTGGCAAAAGATGCAGTGAGGACTGATGAGCCATGGTGACTGCCAAGTGATGGTTGGATGGCATGACTGTGAGGCTGTGTGCCTTTGGTGGAAGAGCAGGAGGATTTGATGGACATTGGGCTCATTTTTTTCCCCTTTGAGCTTCTAATGTGAAAATTGCCTGAACTGAAACGTCCTTCCCATCATTCTCTTAGCTAATGAATTTTCCTGTGTACAACCGTTTCTTCATGGCATCATTCCCCTTACATACTGTACAGTGCATATTGAAAAATATCATAAGGGCTTGCCGAGGTTTGTGATGGAAGAATAGTGCTAATCTGACGTTCATTGAATGTGCTGCTTTCTTCCCAGGCCTCCTTGTCGCAAACGAAAGACTGGTTTACATTAGCGAAACAGAGCCAGCAAACGGTGGCCACCTTTTCATTACCGTCTCCTGCGCTCCACAGTCAGATCACACCCTCTGGTTCTGGTAAGCAGAGAAGGGCCAGGATGATGCAAAACCCCTTTTTATGTCTTCGGTTCTAATCTTGTAGTACGACACTTAGTGGTTCGGAAGAAAAAATTGTCTCCCCCTCTCCCCCCAACTCCACTTTCTACTGTTTTTCAAGAGGCAACTAGGAACAGTGAATGGAGGCTGAATTTATAACTCAACTCTCATACTTATTGGCTGTGTGACTTTTTAAATCTGTTATTGATTTCAGGGAGAGGGAGAGAGAGAGAGAAACATCTGATGAGAGAGTCATTGATCGACTGCCTCCTGCACACCCCCTGCTGGGGATTGAGCCCACAACCCGGGCACGTGACTGGGAATCAAACCGAGACCTCCTGGTTCATAGATCGATGCTCAACCACTGAGCCACGCTGGCCAGGCTGTGACTTTTATAAGTTATTCCGTTTCTGGGAGCCTTTCTTTTCTCATCTGTAAATTTAGAACAATGATACAAGCTAAATGCCTGGCCTAGTGCTTGGTACCTAATAGGCAAGTCAATAAATGCTTGTCTTTATCTATCACAATTTACAAATTCTCATTATTAAGCCTTTGAAATAAAGTGCGTGCAACCTTTATCTCCTCTTGAAAGTAAATAGTAGTTCATAGAACCTGAGTTTTTCTTCTGTTTTTAAGTTCGACTGTTTTTTTACCTTGAAAAGCAGATAAATTTTTACTCTCAGGAACTCTGTGGATGATAAAAACTTTTTATAGAAATAGAAGGAATCTTCCAGAAATAGGAGTCATTAACATATTATGGTATTGCTGAAGAAAAAAAATCTAGCAATGTGATTCAGGGGAGGAACTCAGCAATTTACTAACAGTCCTTAATTCCTTAAAAAATATAAGCAGCCTCTAGGGACAATAAATCTGGATTCTCTAGACTTGAACCTAAATATAGATGAAGAGGAAGATAACCTCCCTGATAGGAAATAGCTGAATTTATGGGCTTCTTGCAGTGTCCCCAAGATAGTAAAGTAGAAAACTGGAGGGTAGAATAGTGAGGATAGTGAACAGGAGGAGAAGGGGTGGCAGCAGGGGTGAGCGGAGTGCCAGTCTGCTCTCTGCCCCCGCTTCAGTGGGGCTGAGTTAATACCCAGTATCTTCTCATAGTTTCAGGGAAGTCTGATCTCTCAACATTGAGGAAATTTGCTATATTTATTTTCAAAAAAATCTCCAGTTCAGTGAAACATTTTCAGTTCATTGAGGCCTGAAATCTGTCTCTGAGAAAATGGTTACTGGGGATGGGATATAGATGACAGCAGAATCTCCCTGACTCACGGGGTGCATTAGCCCCGGGGAGGCGCCTCGTCTGCATCTTTCAGGGATTAATGGAAGGAAGAGAAGAGAGGAGCTTAATACTGCATCTTTAGAAAAAGTGTAAAGACAGTCCATTTGTATTTGTTAGCTTTTATGAATACCTCATGTCATTTTGTAGTTTTAATGATAGGTTATAAGTACGATAGTAATGAGAGCTTTCTGATAAAATAGTAAACTTTTAAAAATTGCCACTATGACTCCAGTTCTGATGTGTTCATCTATGATCCTGTCATCTATGGTAGCTAATTTTACTTTATCATACAACATGAAATAATACAGCACACACAGGCATACCTCAGATATCATAGGTTGGGTTCCAGACAACCTTCAAAACAAGTATCACAATAAAATGAGTCACATGATTTTTTGGGTTTCTCAGTGCCTATAAAAGTTATGGTTACACTATACTGTAGTCTATTAAGTGTGCAAAAGCATTATGTTTAAAAAATGTATATACTGTACCTTAATTTAAAAATGCTTTATTGCTAAAAAAGGCTAACCATCATCAGAGCCTTCAGTGAGTCGTAATCTTTTTGCTGGTGGAGGGTCTTGCCCTAGTAATGCCAAAGATCACTGATCACAGGTCACCATAACAAGTACAGTAATAATGGAAAAGTTTGAAACAGTGCAAGAATCCCAAATGTGACACAGAGACACCAAGCGGGCAAAGGCTGCTGGAAAAATGGTGCCAATAGACTTGCTTCACTTAGAGTTGCCACAAACCTTCCATTTGTAAAAAACACAGTATCTGTGAAGTGCAGTAAGGCAAAGCACAATAAAACGAGGCATGCCCATAGTTGTCTCATGTGCATATTCAAGTTCTCTAACAGAGTTGGCCTTCATATATTGGCATTCTATATCAGCATAAAATATGACATTTTTAAAGCACATGTCCTTTCGAAGGTCCTCTGTATGATTGCTGTCACATACTTGGTTCATCTGCCCCGTTCCCTTCCATGTTCGAGGAAGACACAGCTAATCCCTGTTGGCAGTTTTTTCTCCACTGGTCTCAATGTGGCTTTAGACTGCTCTTTAAGACACTGGTCTATGCAATCACCACCTGAGATAATCCACTCGTTTGCCATCCTGGCTCTATAACATCTAATTAATAATAAAAATATCTTCTGCATTCATACCCGATCTAATAGCCTTTTATAATTTAATACAGAGAGCTTTATCTTTGATGATGGAGTTCACCCCAGGACGAAAAAGGACCCACCTAAAACCACGGGATTAATTTCTGAATTTGATGAAGAAGAGGAGGAAGGGTCTGTATCTGTCCAAGACACACCTTCTCATGCTCTTCTGAGAATATACCTTGAAAAGCAACCGGATGTTGGTGAAAGCCGGATATTGCATTTCTCAACATGTGAAGAATTTTTGAGATCTTATATAACCTTTGTTTTGGCAGTAGTAATTCATCAGATCATTGGAGTGCCATTTAGAGAAGGCCCAGATTATATAAATTTCAACAATGTTGCAGAAGTGGTAGTTGATGAGTCTCCTGAGCCTATTCCTGGCAAGAACGTGGAGTCAAGTGAAACAGTTCAACCCACAAAGGAAATGTTGGAAGAGACAAGTTCAAAGAGTGAGAGCATCCAGTCGGAAAGCAGGGCTGATTGGTGTATTTCTCACAAAGCTTATGACATTGGCAATAGAACAGAGTTCGAAAGATTTAAGAAATTTATAAAAGGAACATTAGGGGAGAGATATTGGTGGCTATGGATGGATATCGAGAGGTTAAAAGTTCTTAAGGATGCTGAAAGACATCAAAGGTATTGCTATTTTTTATTTTGCAGTAGTTTTAAAAACAAATTGTGGAAAATTAATTTGGGTGATTTAAGCACAGCAGAAAACCAGAAATAAATATTTAAAAAAGTAATTTATACTTTTAGAGGAATTAATAAAATTTATTTTATTATAATAATATTGATTTTACAAAAAAATAAAAAAAAATAAAAATATTGATTTCACTAGCTCCATGATTTCAAAGCTTTAGATACAGCTATTATTTGAGTTTGCATAAGTCTCTTCCCATAGATTCTAAGTCTGCTTTCAAATTAATCATTCTATTTTATCTTATAGCATATCAGCAATATATTTTTATGGAAGAAATTATCAGTCATATACCACACGGGCATAAGATACTTTGCATAAATGATACCTTGTGACAGTGTAAGGGTGTGCTGTTCCTAGCAGTTGGCTTGGTTAACAAATTCTATGATCGTTCATTGGATTCCACTTAGAAATTTATATCTGAATGAGATGTCTGCCAGGTACCATGCTGGATACCCTCTAGCAAGCCCCCCGGAGTTCTGATGGGGAGCAGGTCTTTGCTTGGCTGCCCCGGATGTTTTAGGCTACCCTGAGTCTTAAGAACCCTAAGGGGACCCTGCCTTATGAGAGTCCTTACTCTGCTTGTGTCTTCCTGGTCTGCTCTGAAGGAGATGGACTACAGCAGATTGCAGTTCCCAGTGAGGGTTGGACTGGCAGTGTACTCGTGACGGGTTCATTCCAGTTATCCAGTGGGGACCGCAGAGCTCACTGTTGTACGTAGTTGTAAGAGCAGGAGTTACCAAGTGCTTGCTTGCGGAGCATGCCCTGACGGATGCTGGGTGCAAGGCCACTACCACTTTTCAAGACCAGTTGGGGAAGTTATGTGCAGGCAGCCTACACAGGTTCTTCAGGATCGAGATTGGATTAGCTCCTACTGTTCATGTAACAAATTGCCACGACTGTATTGGCTTGAAGTGACACAAATTTACTCTTACAGTGAGGAGGTTAGCAGTCTGAAATGGACATGCAGTGTCTCCCTTCCGAAGGCGCCAGGGGGGAACTCATTTCCTCGCCTTTCCCAGCTTCTGAAGACCACCTGCTCTCCCGGGTTCTTGGCCCCTTTCCTCTGTCTTCAAAGCCGTCTGCATACAATCTTCTCTCTTCTCTGACCTTGGCTTCTGTCCTCATCTTTTTACTCTATGGCTCTGGCCCTCCTGCCTTCTCTTAGAAGACCTCTCAGTTACATCAGGGCTACCTAGCTAATACAGGATAATCTCAAAATCCTAATCACACCTGCAGAGTCTCTTCTAAGGTGCAGTATTGTCCACAGGTTCTGGGGATTACAATATGGGCATCTTCACAGGGCCAGCTGTTCAACCTATCGAAAATACACTCCCCACTCCCCTAGCTGGGAGAAGTTTTTAGTCTCCACATTGGTAAACTTCTAGCTTAGTGGTGGCTTCAAGATAGTTCATTACTTTTCTGAAACGTTTTAGAAGTGAAAATACTTGGCTGGTTGAATGTTGCATCAGTGTGTATGTGTTTTATTGCAGACACCTTGAGAAGATGAAGAAATGCTACCTAGTGAGCAGTGGAGATTGCTACCTTTCTGCAGAAATCTTAACAAAATTGAAGCTGCTAGACGGGTCTCAGTGGAATAAAGAACACTTAAGAAATATTCAGACTGAGGTTGTAAAACCCTTACTTCTGTATTGGTAAGAAAAATAGTGGGACTCACAGTTACTTGCTTTCACTTTTCTTAGGCTAGTTAACAAGTTATACTTTTAAAAATATATAAATTATGGAAATTTAAAATGATAATAATAAGGCTGGACAGTACTTCAGCTCTGTTTTAACTTTGTGAGCACATCCTTCTACAACTGACATTTTATGGTTGGCCTGTCATCAAATTGGGGGGTGTGCATGTGTGTGCGTGTGTGTGTACATGTAGCTAGAGTTACAGATTTCTCATTTCAATAAACATTTTTTAAACTTAACGATAAGCCAAGTGTTGTGCCAAGGATACAAGGGTAAAACGTGGTCAAGTCCAGTGGCTGTAGTCTAGTTGGGAGGAACATATGTGAAATAAATATAATAAAAAAAATGTGGTGAACACACAAGATACAGAGAAGAGGTGGTATTTCAACAGGAACTCGAGGGACTCTAAACAAGGAGAGAGTGGGCCTAGAAAAGGTGTGCCATCTGAGGGTCAACGAGCTTTCCGCTGTGGCTGTGTGGACCTGATTATGTCACTGAGCTTAAATTCTATAGCTTTAACCCCAGAGCTTTCAGTATAAAGTTCAGATGCCTTAAGTTAGGAAGTAAGTTCATTGCAGTTTGCCCCTTGCCCACTTTTCTGTCATCTCCCATCCCGATATTCCATATTACTTATATGCTTTGTATTGCTCCGTAGGTAGAATGTTTTCCTCTTTATTTCTTTAAAAAACATATTTAAGATACAGAAAGGTATAAATTATACTATAGTGCGCATTTGAGTACACACCACCCAACTTAATAAAAATTAATAATTCAGTAGAAACTTTCCTTTTCTTTTTTTAAAAAAAGTGTTTTTATTGATTTTAGAGAGAAGGGAGAGGGATAGAGAGAGAAACATCAATGAGGGGGAAATATCGATCTCCTGCCTCCAGCACGCTCCCTACTGGGCATCAGGCCTGCAACCTGGGCATGTGTCTGACTGGGAATTGAACCAGGGACCTCTTGGTTCATGGGTGAGCGTTCAACCACTGAGCCACACTGGCCTCACTGGGCTGTTTATATATTTTAGAGTGTTAATTTCATCCACCAGTTTTTATTTGGTACTATAAGTAAATACTAAACTGTTTTAAAATGATCACAGGTGCATTTTAGGTTCATTTTATTAGAAACTGTAAGTTCATTTTAAAATTTTCTTCATCAAATAGGTATATAGGTTTTTCTTATCATGTAGATGCTAATTTGAATATAATTTAAAAATTATTTCTCTTCTTTGTATGAGTGTGCATTGCCTCTTTATATGAATGAATGTGATTTCAGGCAGTTGATGTATCATAGAGAAATGTTTTTTTTAAAGCTGGGCAGCAGAAAAAGAAGTAGAAATCATTAGGAAAGGGAACAGCAGGACTGATCATCGTGAGCATAAATATTGTGCACTTTGCAAGCTCTTGGTTTTTGAGACCTATTCCTATTGTGTAGTTTAATCTACATTTCTTTTCCTCTCAACCAGGGCTCCGAGATTCTGCGTCACTCATTCATTCGCAACAAAGCACGCCAGTGCTGAACTGAAGTTGTGGCACCTCCGCCAAGAGAAGCCAAGGAAGGATGTTGACCCCTTTCCACAAATGGCCACCCTTTTGCCATTAAGACCTAAATCTTGCATTCCACAGATATCTGATATGCAGGTAGGGTGTGCATGGATGCATTGATCTCTTTATTAAGTTTATAGTAAAATGTCCACACCTGGATTTTATACACTAATACTTAAGTTTCATCATAAGCTTTTCTCTTTCTTTTCTTGGTTGTTGTTAATGTACATGCCGTAACAATTAGGAAATAAGAAAGTCTATAAATTGTTCACCCAGCAGCCAAAGTGGTCCTTTAAAACTACGGGATCATGTCACCTGCGCAAAATTCTTTAGTAGCCTCCTGTCTCACTGAGAATAAAAAGTCAAGGTCCTTACACAGCTGTACATGCCCCTGCTACCTCCTGACCTCATTTCCGACCACACTTCTCTAACTCATTCCACTCCAACCTTAATGGTCTCTTTGCTTTTCTCTGGACACAACAAGCAAAGACCCAGGGGCACTAAAACATATTCAGTTATAGAATAATGAAATGTTTTTGCAAAGTTCTTCCTCCAGGAAAGAGTCCTTTTTCACAATGATGTAAGGAAACATAAGCCTTTGGCCTTTCCTTTCTCAGAGTCTGAATAGCTATAGGGTGGTGAGGGGTGGAGGGATTGAGCAAAAAAGAGAAAGAACTCATTGACATGAACAATAGTGTGGTGATTGCAGGGGGGAGGGGAATGGGGGGAGGTGGAAGCAGGTTTAGGGGGGATAAATAGTGATGGAAGAAATAAAATAAACTTTGCAAAAAAATAGCTATAGGGGTTTCAGCTTGCTGGTTTCATAAAAGTGGGAGTTTGGAAAGAAGAACATTTTTATTATAAGCATGGTAGGTGGTAGAGTGAGGAAAGAAATCCTCTAGTGATCAGAACACATTCTAAGTATATGTGCAGAGCTATGCTTTATTTATTCCCCCCCCAATCTGCTCACTTTTCACCTTGTTCATTATTTTACTACTTTTTAGAAAGAAGAAACCAGTTTAGTTCAACCTCCTAAATCTCCCAGGAAACCACCTCCAGCAACTCAAAAACCCTGGAAGAGCGAGACTTGGTATTCAGTTTCTTCCAAGGACAGCACGACTGAGAAAGGGTAGGTGCAGTTGTCTAGGTGCCTAGTGCTTTTCCTGCAATGGTAGAATTTTTTTTTTAAGAATTGAAAAATTAAATAGAAATTGAAAACCAATACTTTGATTTTTTTACAGAGTTTCTTATATTTCAGTGATAGGTAGTTGAGGGTTGCTACTTCCCATGCATACTCTAAATTAGGTGTAGAACTCCTGAGATTAGTAATGTCTTCGAGGTTCATTTATGTTGTGGTCACTTTCATTCTCAAATATCAGTGATTTTTAACCCTTATCATCCCATGGCACACATAATGTCCCAAGTCATTAATCTAACTCCGAAGTCTTCCATTATCTCACCTCAGTCGGACCGTATAGAAATCCTTATTGTGAGAATTAAATATGAGAATGTGAATTATATTGTAGAATATAGTGTTCACTTAACTGGTTGTGTCCTCTTGCCCTAAGCAAATTAGTTAACCAGCTGCCTTTTAAACAGGCTTTTCCTGCCTACCTTTATATACTGCTCATTATTTTCCCCATCTGAAGAACCCCTGTAACCCCCCCATTTTTCAGGAAAAGTCTCATTTCTTTACTTACTAATATAGCTCAAAGGGACTTCTCATTCTTATACTGTTATAGCTATATATTATCCACCCCAGTCATTTGACAACTGTAATATATTCTNGACAGAACTTTTCTTGGGAAGCAAAAAAAAAAAAAGAAAAAAGAAACTTGCTCAGTACCTTTTAGGATTCACACACTTTAACATTCATACAACAAATACTAAGGGAGGAGGGTCTATTTTTTTGGAGGTGCTAATCTATTTGCTCTATGTATGTTTCTTTTTGCCATGTACTCCTTCCAGCAATCTCATGCTGTGGTATGGGTCCTATTTTACAAAAGCGAAAATAAACTCTTCACTGTCACTGGGAGGCCCATAGTTAGAACAGCAAAGGTAAAAGCAGTGACTTTATCTAAGGGTATAAAAATTAATGCTAGCTAATGGAAAGATATCCATTATATAATTTTGTGGGTTAAAATTGGAAAGTACTCTTTCCCCTTATCCCCCCCTCCCACTTGGCAGTTACATTAGGAAGTGGAGGATTTACCATCCCCTCAGCTAAGGACCTAAGAGCCCAGTCCCCAGGGTTCTTCCCAGAGGATCGTGGGAAGACTCTAATATGTCACAAAAGGTTCTGGATATGCTTCCTGATGATTTAAGTCAGTTAAAAATGTCCTGTATTTTTGGAATTTTGAGTAGCGCAGGAGTCTTCACCCAGATGTCTCCCAGCTGGGAACATGAATTCAGTCACTGGATGGCCAGCAAGAACTTTTTCTTTTTTTTAAAAAAATATGCTTTTATTGATTTTAGAGAGAGAGGAAGGGAGAGATAGAAACATCAATGAGAAACATCAATAGTCCCGACACTGGGGATGGAGCCTGCAACCTGGGCATGTGCCCCGATCAGGAATAGAACTGGTACCTCCTGGTGCCTGGGTCAACATTCAACCACTGAGCCACACCGGCCAAGCTCTAATATATTCTAGAATTCGTTCAACTAACAGTTACTTTATTGAGAGTTTTTCTTTGTGCATATGTCAGTCTCTCAACTAATTCTTCAGGACTGGACCTGATGCTTATACTTGTTTTTTGTGTTGTTCTTTTTCTAATTTTCTGATAATGCTAGGAAGCACTCCTGAGATTTGGTGCCGTGTATACCAAAGGTGCTCAAAATATGTTTACTCATCAGCTTGTTCTCATCCCTGTAATTTAGGTCCAGGTTCGTGTCAGAAAGCACCCAAGTTATTCGTTTAACATCTTATACTGACATTTCTGAGTGTCTGAAGCCCCAGCTGGATAGAAGATTCACTTATACGGAGGAACCGCTGGTGAGTATTTTGAGGACTGATTAATCTGAGTCCTCATTTAGCTGATCAGTGTTCCTTGATTTTAGAGAATTTTTATTGATTTGCCATAACATTTTTTCTTTACTAAATAATACATTTTATTTTTTCCTTGCAAAAGGATTTTTACACAAAAATTTCTTCTGTTTTGCAGTCCCATGTTGCTATATATTCCGTTGGTTACTGTTTTCAGAAACAGCTGTGTTCTGATTTTGGTATGAGGACACTTCCAACACGAAATAAGACCCTCTGGGATTTTTATTAAGTTTTTAACATTTGATAAAAAAATTTGATGTTATGTTTTGGAAGCTTAGAATTTTTATGAAGCATTTTATGAAGTATTTTTGTAGTGTGGCTTCTTTGAAAATGTGGATTTAGCACACCAATTCTAGATGACAATTTCATGTTCCCTAAGGATTATACTTTAGCTAGTAACCTTGGTAGTCCTGATATAGTCTGAACACTTAGGTATAATTTTGTAGAGCTATTTTATTCTAAGCAAACACTTCTTTTTTTCTAATTAGGATATTTCCCTACCAAAATAATGATATTTTAGCTTCGGAATGCCAATGGTTAGACATCATAAAAACATTAAATTCTCACCTCAGAATTTGTTTAGTAGGGTGATAAAGACAGAAGCAGAGAGATACCATAACAAAGAGAGAGCAAGAACTTCACTTACACCCTAAATCGTTTATGCCACAGTTATTTTAAGATTATAAAGAAGTCTTGAGTTCCACACAGCAAAGAGCAAAGAGTTAATATGAACGTAGATGCCCTTTTGCACTCTAGAGTCACGCTTGTGCTTGGAGAAATAGCCAGCTTTCTGTGTTTCCAGAATGGTATGACGGCTGCCAGCATTGTTGGCAGAGAAGTCCATAAATAGCAGTTTTATGAGAACTTACACTGTCATTTATACTCTGACGGCCATGACCTGTATGGGGTGAGACTGTCCAGAGAGGGACCCCCTCCCCCTAAAGACTGTTAATGAGCAGCATTGAGAGGCCTTGAAGATAGTTGTTTTTATAACTCTCTTGTAGCTATTATAGCAGCACCTCAAGGCTAAAATAACAGTAAACATGTAGGAAAGAGGCCACCAACAGTGATTTGGAAGACTTCTAAAATGGTATCACTGTGTCTGAAACAAAAAAATGGTTGAGGGTGGGAAGTCATTTTAACACTAAGCTTGGGATCAGATTGGTTTAAGGTAGAACAAACTCTGCTGCTATACTTGGCTCCAAAAATGAACCTTGTATGACAGTCAGATGCAAACATACTGCACTGATTACACATATGGTACAAAAAGAAAATAGCCCAGTGGGGAAATGACAGCCTGGCAGAATTTATGAAACCCGTTGTACAATGAATGCCATAAAAAATTACAGTGTTTTGGGTGGATAATGTTCTTCTGTTTTGTTATCTAGGTTAAAACCCTGGCAGATGGTGCCTTGGGAGGATTTGACATGGAAAATTTATTGCAATCTTTGTATGTAGAAAATAGAGCTGGATTCTTCTTTACTAAATTCTGTGAGCATTCAGGGAACAAGGTAGAAAATATTTTAAATACAATTTTATATTTTTACTTCATTTTAAAATAAGAAGGGTTGAAATAATTCAATGCTCAAATAATTATATTTGATGTTAAAATTCCGTCTCTGGTAAGAAATTTCATACTAAATATTTAGTAAAAATTTAAATGTTTCAATTATAATTTTCTTTGGTTCACTATCGTACTAAAATTAAAAAGAAAAGTAAAATACAGATAGACAAGAACTCACTTTCACTGCTAATAACAGTTTATTTTCACCTAACTTTGTTTTGATGTAATATATTATATTCAGAGTTTATATCTATCCTATAATTTTATTTTTGATAACCATAACAATTACAAATTGCAATGGGTAGTGGCAAACTTACTTTTAGTGTTTTGTGGGGTTTTTTAAATTCACAAGGTCTTCACTTTGCTGAAATGAAAGGTATTTCACTGGTTCAAATCAAGAGTAGTGCTTGGTTCTGGGATGATATACATTTGCCCATATACCAAAATACCTTTAGATTTGGGGTTCGTGCCAGAAATATGTGATTACCCTTTGTTAACTAGAACACCTACTATTTTAATGACCCATTATATGGGAAGCATACATGTAAAAATATAATGTTCTAGTGACAATACCAATAAATATTTTGTATGTTGCCAGTATGTGATAGAATATAAAACCATCTTAAATTGAGCCTGATTTATGGTAACACCAAGGAGCTAAGCAATTACTTATATTTGAAATTAGAGCTTTGGGGAGCTTTGATAATTGGGTGGTAATAATTTATGTACTTTTTCCATCTGCAGCTGTGGAAGAACTGTGTGTACTTCTGGTTTGACCTACAGGCTTATCATCAGCTTTTCTACCAAGAAACACTTCACCCTTTTAAAGTATGCAAGCAAGCCCAAGTAAGTAGTATTTACTTACATTATTTAATGCTGGCTCACTGTGAAGCTCAAAGTACACAGAGAAACGAAAAGTTGTGTCCAGCCCCAAAGAGAAATCGGAGAGTGCAGGCAAAACGGCAACAATTAGAATGTCGCTGAGGGATTACTTTATTTAGATGCCAGCAGAACATTGTTCTGTAATCTGATTTGTTGGTTCTCAGCTTTATCTGTTTTACTTGGTTTGCTTTATTTTCCCTTTGCTGCCAATACTTGTTCCAATAAAGAACATCCCATCTTTTAAAATTTTTTAAAATTTATGCCTTTTTGGTTTGGTCATGAGTGATTTAAAGAGAGCCCTGAGAGAGGATTCATAATGAATCACTGAAGTGATTGGGAGCAGAGGCATCGACAGAGCTGTCCTCGGCGCTCCCTGCAGAAATCAGCTGTTGGATACACTTAAGCCGCCGACCTGTGTGAAGGGCGGGAAAGAACGTTGGCTGTGTGTGGTGCGGGCCCTGTGTGTCCCTGGGCTTCTGTGCTACACACGATAGAAGACAGATCCTCAGAGCTGGAGGAAGGACTGTCTCAAGACCTCCCTGAAGCAAAACAAAGGAGGAAGAAAAAAGTGGAGGTGAAACAGAGGATTCTTTGTGGAGGGAGACAGAGAGAGTGGACAGTTATTTTTTTTGGTTTCTTTTGTTTTGTTTTTGTGGAAGAAGGGAAGGGAATAAAATTATGACTTGAGCTGACTTATGTTTTCAGTTTTTTTATTTTTAAACTCTTCTGATCTTTTATGGAGAGAGGTCGTCAAGCCTAGAACACTGCTAATCACTGCTGTATCTGTTAAACACTTAAGTGGTCCTTAAAATCTGAAATGACCCCATTCCCAAGGAGCTCTCCCTGCACGATGCTGAGCACGGTTCTGCCGTGTTATTTATTACCTTGCTGTAATCTTATTTAGGGCGGCCAAGAGTACTGCTGGATGTTTGCTGTTCCCTCCACCACCCTGACTCTGGCCTTAATACCGTGCTTTGTAAATCAGCTGCCAGAACTTTGTACTTTCTACCATGAGACTAAGGCTTCAGCTCTGGCTTCATGAAATCATGAAATTATATCTCTGATTTGCCAGTGCCATTTTCTGAGACCACACAGTTAGCTCTTTCGCTTGTTAATCCTTTACCTGTAATTCTCTATTTACCCTCTCCCCCTAACCTATTGCCCTTGTCTTAAAGTACCATCCATTATTTTTATTATGTTTTCACTACTACAAAGCGTACTCCAGAAACCTTCAGTGGCTCAACTAAGTGGGTGCTTTGTTGTAATCACCATATTTCCATGCACTTGTAACAGAGGAAATTGTATTTGAGCTTAGTAAACTTATTAATTCTTAGTAACGGTATTATTCAACCAGCTGTGAATAATCGTGAAACAGGATACAGTCAAGTTTTAGTCATGCTGAGATGGGTTATTCTGTTTGGGGGTTATCAAGGCCCATAAGCTTTTCCTTCTTTCCTAGGTTTTCTTTTGGCTTCTCAAAGTGGGGTGGGTGGAGGGGAGCAATGGAGCAATTTGCTTTTAGTGAAAGGGAGAAATAAGAGGAGAAAATCATGTGATATTTTCTTACTTGTTTGCTTTCTTACTTGGTTACTTTATGTAATTTTTGGTTAGTTGAACAATGACCTAAATTGGTTTAGTTTTTAATTACTCAAGATTTCTGTGTCTCCAGATACAAGAATTGCCTAATACCATGATTCTATAGATTTATTTCACAGTATAAAATACCATTCGTTTTCTTTTTAAAAAAATATGTTTTTATTGATTTCAGAGAGAGGAAGGGAGAGGGGGAGAGAGAGAGAAACATCAGTGATGAGAGAGAGTCACTGATCGCTGCCTCCTGCACTCTCCCCACTGGGGATTGAGCCCAAAACCAGGGCATGTGCCCAGACCAGGAATCGAACCGTGACCTCCTGGTTCATGGGTTGACTCTCAACCACTGAGCCACGCCTGCCAGGCACCATTCATTTCTTTATAATAGAAACGTTGTATGGCTTTCTTTAACAGTACATTTCACATATAGATCTTTGGGTTGATAATGCCAAAGGCAGAATATAAATCAGCTGTTGCTTTGTTAAAATGGCTATGACCTTGATTTTATAAGGTTTTTATACATTTGACAAGTTGTATGGAAGAGACCCAGAGCTGATTCCAAAGGCTTACATGCTTTTATGTATGTTAGTAGGCAGATTACACCCCTTGAGGCTTTATTACCTCAGAAGTATTGCAGAAATATTTGTAGGCAAACTAGATGGGGTGAGGGGTCAATGACAGTGAGTTAGCATGACTAACTGTGGTCTAGGAATTTGAACTGGTCTTGGGCACACCCTGAAGACTTTTCTGCATGGTTCAGTAGAATAGTGTAGTTAGAAACTGCCTGAAATGGTTTTGGCGACGAGTAAGGGAATCACCACTATAATGCAGAGATACAGTCTTTGACTCTAGCAACAACTTGCCAGGGGACCATCTCTCACTCCTAAGATTTGGAGCCTGCATTGTTTCCCAGGTAGCCCTGCTGCTTTTTTAACGTTACACACTTGCTTCAGTCATAGAGTAACTACAATAAATTAAGCAGATCTGGGCACCACTGTGTTTTGTAACTTCCATCTTTGTAGAAATCTTTCAAACAAACTGTATTCCCATAAAAGCATGCATTTCAAAGTTACCACTCTCGGCAACATATGTATTGAAATAGTAAACAGGTATGATTCATAAATATTATACATGTTTACACAGATGTATACACAGATACAGACATGTACAAAATTAAAAATATTTTTAATGGGAGGGAGGAAGAGAGAAAAAGTAGTATAAATTAGAGCCTAGGGGAAAAGGAACGTGGAGGAGGTAAGACTAATGGGTCAGGGGTGGGCAGGGACGAAACGGAAATGGGAAATAGGAGGTCGCTAGACAGAGCCACAGCGCTTTTACCACAGAGCCCTATTAACACACAGGTGTTCTTGCAGCAGTGTGAGGTTTTTGCCTTATTGACTCGAACAGTAGAGTAATACAGTGTCAATTCATGTATCCCCTAGATCAGAGGCTATATGACATAGAAGAAGAAAAAATTACAGAACTTGCCATCGAAACACACAAATTTAAGGCACATTAAGCTAGTTATTGGCTGGGACAACTCGGTCAAGTCAGTCACTTTAATAAGCTTCAGTTTCATGTTTTATAAAATGTGGGTAGTACTGTTTTACATTTTATTTCCTTCTGTTTCTGTTTTCACTCTTACAATTTTAACATGCATCCTGAAATTAACCAAGTACACAATTAATCATTATATTTATTGTCCTCTCAAAAAGCGAAGGATCTGAGAACACTAATTCTACCACACCTCGCACATTTTAGATATCATTTTTTGTAGCATTTTAAATTTTATTTCATACCAGTCATGTAGTCGTCATTATTTTTTAATAATGTGTAGACTTAGTCACACACAGATTTCTCATTTGCCACTGCTTTGTGCACCACATCCCTTTTGGGGATTAATTTATGAAGAACATCTTCTAGTGCTTTTTACGAGGATTCACTAGTGGGAAAAATCTCTCAGGTTCGTTTATCTGAAAATACCTATTTTGTGCTCTCATTGATCATTTAGCCGAATGGAGAACTCTAGGTTGACAGTTTCCCTTAGAACTTTGAAAATATTATTCAGCTGGTTTCCACTGCTGTTACTGCTCTATCTAATATTTTGTGGCATTCTGTAGAGGAAGGGTTTCCAGGTGATCTAGCCTGCCCAAGTGCCAGAAAAGGAAGCCTCTGTAAGAAGCAGTCATGTATTTTCTTATTTTATACTCATTGTAAACACAGAAGGTATTTTATCCTATTTTTTAAAAGATTAAAAAAACACCTAGGTCTCTGAAATGTTAACCTTGTCAAGGCTTCATGACCAGGAATGAAATTCAGCTCAAACTTGAGATGACGAACCTACCTCACTGCTGCATTTTACCTTCTCTACTCCAGACTACCGAATAGGCCTTCTGAGAGGCCCGAGTGAGACGTGTAGACAGGAGTTTCTGTAGGGTGGAGTAAGTGGACATTATTATTAGAGTTAATACTCAAGGTCCTGCCAGTTACCTGAGTAACAGGGAAGGATGACAGGAGCTTGACAAGATTGAAGAAAGTAGGGTGGGGAGCAGCAGCTCCTAAACCAACAGCTACTCATTCAAACAACAGTATAGCTTAGTTTAAGTTTCAAAATAGAGTTCAAGTCAAAGTATACTTTACAGAATCACAGCAGTTTGGTTTTTTGTTAATCCTCACGGGAGGATATATTTTCCATTGCTTTTCAGAGAGAGAGAGAGAGAATGTGGAAGGGGGGAGAAACGTCATCGACTGGTTGCCTCCTTCACGTGCCCCGACCAGGGCCAGGGTCGAGCCTGCAACCCAGGTACGTGCCCTCGGCTGGAATCGAATCCGGGACCCTTCAGTGCGAGGGCTGACGCTCTAATCACTGAGCCACACTGGCTAGGGCAAGAATGTGCTCTTCTTTTGCTGGCTTTTCCAGAGAACCCTAGAAAAATTAAGACAGAGGAGGCCATGTAGTTCTTTTCCCATAAAATTTGCATTGTGCTGACAATGTTTCCCAGTGACGTCTGAGCCAATTTTAAGTAACCAAAACCTTGGGTGTTACCACAGATTTCTTTGAAAAAACTTTTGGCATAAGATGGGCAGTGTAGAGGACCTTTCTGATATTCAGCTTGCTTTTTCTTTGCTTGCTGTCATCCATTACCTTAATTGTTTAGCTCCTCTCCTTACTTGGCATTTACAGGACTTAAATACTTCAGGGTGGTCCTGACATTTTCACTAAAGTGCTATGAGCTGGGTAGTGTATTTTCAGGTGCACTAACAGGGTTCATTATTTCTTCATACAGCAGTAAGAACCAAGCTGTGTTTTCTAAAAGATGAATGGGCATGGGTGAGGGGTGAGGTTGGGGCGGTGGTTAAATATGGAAAATCAG